CGAATAAGGAAGCCCCGAGTCCTAGTCGATTCGAACCCACGACGAGGCAAATCAATCCGCGAACTTCAAAGGAATCCCGCGACTCTGATCCTTCGGGATTCCCTGATACGCGTGGGAGTCTTTAATCAGGGTACGCGAATCGACGGCCCTCGACAGTACATCGACCCCGAAATGGCCTTGTTCACCATTGTCTTGAGAGTCGGTTGGTCCGTCTGTCTTGTCGCGTGGCATGTTAATTAAATCGCTAATTATTAAACTAATTGTCGGTTTAATTGACTCGCGAAAGAGGAACCCCGCGTGTTCGCAAACTGAAGAACAGAGAGGCCGAGGAAAAAGACTGTTTGATTGTGTGATACCATACCTTTAGAACACGCGAGTCAGCCAACGGACTATCCGACCATCTGAATTAACCAATGCTGGATCAGCAGTCGATCGTTTCATTTCGAATTGTGTCCTAAAACATAGACAATCAGTTTAACGACCGTATTATATGACCGTTTTAATTTACACGTGGTAAATTAGCGGTTCTCTAGAAAATATATCTATTTATGATAAATAGCGTATTTACACAGTATCTGATGTATGCTAAATTTGATCATGTCGTGTCAGTTTACTCGTTTGTTAGTAATGTTTGCAAATCCTTACAGAAATTGAATATCTAAAAGTAGTAATTATTTATTAAATACTAAACAATGATACTTAAATCCGATTAGATTAAAAAAATCTTTTAAATAGTGCTACAACAAAATTACTTTTTTATGTCCATTTTTTATGTGTTTATGGAAACTTTTTATCAGCACCTTATAAATTATAAAATATTAAAATTTCAACAAGTAACTGAAACTTTTTTTATACAATCAGTACAGAGAAACCTGAAAGTAAATTTGTGTTTGTGCAAAACAAGACTTAAATTACAGACAGAGAATCAATACTCAAAATAAGTAATAGATCATCATTTTTCAGTATTAAATTGGGCAGTATTAAATTTTATAAGAGCATTCGACACATCGTTCAATACATATGCTTTCAGAATGTAAAGCACGTCGGGAGCATTCGTATCCCAATGCTATACAATGTAAAATACCTTACTCAATGCGAGTCGAGTACTTCGTATCAGAGGCACGCGCGAGAAAGAAGCGGGGAATCGCGGTTTCGGTCTGGAGCTTGCACTCCGAAACCAGCCGTGCCCGTGGCCCGGTAGAGTGTATCCTGCAGACTAACAGGACAGAGTCAAAGCGGTTCACTCTATTGTGTTCTTGATTAACTACTTCTTACACAAAGTCTTGAAAAGCCGACGAATTATTTAAAAAGACTCGTTGTTGTTCTGCGAGGCGAATAGGCAAACCACTTGTTAACTAGACGGGAACTTTCGGTTGAGAGAAAAAATACTATATATACGTGACACGAGACCTTCGACACTCACGTAAATTAATGAAAACTATTAGAGAGTATAAAGAGTATAAATAAAGATGTATAAATATAAAACATCGCTCCATTAAAAAACTTCCAGTTTAACGTATATTGGTTTTGTGGCTCGACTTGTTTAACAGAAAAATATGCAACTATGTCCGAAGCAATGTAAAACATCGATGCACCGTAAAATTGAGTGTTATCAAAATAGGATACTCAAAATAAATCAATAAATGTCGTGTGACTATGTAACTATTAGCTCTGTGTGTGTTGACGTACATGAGAAGAAAAATAACTATCCAACAATTTTGTTCTTCTAATTGTTCTTCGATATTTTGCTAACGTCGTTACGACAATCATCGTTATCTTTACATAAATGGGTTTACGAACTTAAAATGAAATAGCTTTCTATATTTTAGGCAATATTTATGCCTTCTATATTTTACGTACTTTATGGTAGCAAAACTGTTTTACAGTTTCAATATCAAAATAAGAATAAATATAGTACCGACATACAGGACACAAATAGTAAATAATATATTAGCAATCCATAACGGAATAGTGACATGATATAGCGGATAACTTAGTAATAAATTTTGAAGGAGGTCACAAGAGAAAATAACTCGAAACATGTATCTACAATATTTCTTTACGAGTGAGTCTTTGCTCAACAAAAATATAACAGTGTAACTATTTCAAAATGTTTGTTAATATATCAAAATTTTATTCATTATTTCAAAATGATTGTTTGACATTAAACGGACAACAAGTGCTAAAAATAACATCGCAGAGAAAGTTACGTTTGCAAATAAATATCAGCATATCACTGTATGACAAAACACAATAAAACTACTTTTTAATTATTTTCTTTTGAAAAATGACACTTATAGCTATATTATTCAATGCAACAAAATTTATCTACAGTTTTATAAATTGTACACATTATCAATAGAAAAATGCGGATGAATTTTTCATTTGCACTCTGAAAAAGTTTGCGCGATAATAATAATTAGCTCTCGCGATTACTTTAAATTTCAGGCCGCTTTTACTCAATTGCATTCAGTTGATCGAATATTTTTAATTACTGCTGTATTTGTCCTGATCGCCCTGCAGATGCTCACTAAATAAATTAATGCGCACATGTCAACTATCACGAAGCCATTTCCCGCTGAGATTTCCATTGCGCGGTCGAAATTTTCCACAAATACATATAACTGTATTTTCCGAGATCTCTTTTAAGTCGAGATTTCAACGTCAGGACAATTTTTTATAATTACCGGCCAATTAAATTATTCGAATTGTGTTCTGAATTGTACCATCGTACAGCATAAGTGAGTTAAAGTCTTGAATCTGTCTCAATGTGAGAACATATTGAAAAATAAATGAGAAAATTTTATTATCAGTACTTTACTTCAATATTAATTTAATTATTATATTTTATAATTAGCAAAATTAACTTCTTTTTACATATAAATACATTCGTTTTAATTAGTTTAAATTAATTTAACATTATTAAAAAATTTAAATTATAACAATGTTTAACATACTGCTCTTTTTCGTCATAAATGACATAACTCCAAAAATTAAATTTCACAGGAAAGAAGAAAACTCTTTTTCAACTTTTTTTCACAGAAAATTACTTTAATCAAATAATAAGTGAAAAGAATATTCTTAATATTACTTAGATCGAGTACTTTAAAATAACTCGATTTTCATGGAAATATTTATGAAATTATATAATTTAGCATCAATTGTTGATACGAAATCTTTTATACAAATTATATACATATCTGTATAGAAATTATTATAGAGAGTATTATATATATATATATATAATATATATATATATATGTATACATATCAAACTAACAGTAAGTTAAATAATTTGTGACATTATTTTTTTTAATTAAAACTATTACTATTTGAGTTAGAATAGAATAAGAAAATCATTCAATGGAAATAATACGAACAAAAATAAAACACTATAGGTTTTATTTTTTTTTAATGACAGTATTACCTGAGATTTACTTTTTGATTTGGTATACAAATTTTTTGTTTGAAGAACGCATCTTAACTCCTTTTTTGACTTTCTTTTTTAAGATAATTTTGTAATATTCTTAACATGATTAAATGTCCTTTTTGTCATTTTGTCATGAATTTTAACCCTTAAAAATTCATTCTTATTGTCTATTGAATCGTAACGATTTTGACGATTTTTGGAAAATCACATTTTGTTAATATAAAAGAATAAAGGTTTTGAAGAAATAAATCATAAAGATTACAAAAAAAATCCATAGAAATCATCACAGGATAATCGTGTGTAAAAATAATATTAATAGAAATTAAATATAGACGTTTTGGTCCTTCGCACGCGTTTGTGTCTTCTTCAGTATAATACTGATAGATTAACTAATAACAATTTCGCTGTATATGGTAAATCATTAGAAATGTCAATTAAAATAATTACAAAGCACTATCGAATCAAAAACATCATAATAATAGAATCAAAGAAGAAAAATTATTAAACGTTTCATATATAATGTTAAATATTTAAATCGTACGTCTACTTAAAACTGAAATGTTAAAAAATCATTGTAGCCGGTATTCATAGACGGATCTTATATTTAAAACCGTCTCAAGTCTTAAGATGTTATGAACCAATTAGAAAGCCGTATTAACACCTGAAGACACACTTTATACAATTTTAAAATAAGAACGAATTATCAATATCATCCTGTATTATTATCAGTTTAATATAAAGACTAGTTAAAGTTTACATTGATTACAATAATTGTATAATTCAGTAGAATAATATAAACTTACATTAGAAATAACTATGAGATGATAAAGAGTAGAGTACGAATAATAGCAACATCTATGTTACGAGTTGTTGAGCTTGTGAGAGACCAACGAACGACCTTTTTTAAGTTGCGAATAAGAGCAACGTCTATGTTACGAGTTGTTAAGCTTGTGAGAGATTTTAAGTTATGAGAATTTTTAAGTTATGTCGTTTTGAGATGATATTTTTTACAAAGTTAAGTTAGTTTATATTTAATAATTGATAAGGTAATATTTATTTAACCTGACTCATTCATGATGCCGATAAAATAATTTTCATGCACGAATATATGTATAATTATATTTATAATGTATGAGCAATCCCTTTACAATTTTACATTTTTTCCAAACTTGATTGTTTCGAAAAATAAACAATGCGAAAATTATATTTTTAATTATTTTTTTATATTTATTATTATTACTTTTGTATATCTACTTGAACAGTAAGTTTACAAAAGAACGAAGGATATACGGACATATACATATAGACAGTCCATAATTATAGATGTTTATGAATGTTTATACATGTTTATATACATTTATATATATATATATTTATATATATTTACGTATGAACAGTTTTTTACGAAGATAATATTTAATTCAAAAATCATATTTCTTGAGTAGTGTATTACGTTTAAGTAAGGAAACGATATAATATATATTAAGTGTATTGTTCATATTATTAGTACATGTAAACGTATATTCAAACGTACAATATAAGAAAATCGTTTGTTCTTTTTGTCGCTTAGGTGCCGGGCTGGAGATACGAAAGCTGGACGTACCCAGTATCGCAGATCCGAGGTGGGAGATGGTGTCACTAAGATGTGAATATGATCTCGGTGGCAAGGAGCTGTATTCGGTAACGTGGAACAAGGACGGTCAAGAGATCTTCAGATTCATGCCGGGATCACCGACGCCTAAACGACCTCAAAATATCAGCGGACTATATATCGACCTCAACCGAAGTGACCACAAACAAGTGACACTTCTGGGCCCAAACACTGGCAAAGGTATGTGACATCAATTTACAAACAAAAATTATAAGACGTATCCTTTATTACATTTCTCCTGTAAAAGATGAATCTTTTATGTGCGCGGAAAGAATAATTTTGCTGAAGTATCCAAAAATTTAGATAGATGCTGTATCTAAAAATAATTTATTGTATCAAAATAATTATATAGTATGTATAACTCAAGAATAATAAACATTGCTGCAAAGAGTTTTAACAATCCAGCAACCAATCAGAGCGTCTTATATAAATATTTTGATAATCTAATCAAATTATTTTCAGATCTGTCTCTAACTCAATTTTTAGATCAGTAAAATTATTCCGTATATCATTAAAATATCCATATATCATTAAAATTATTTTTGTATAAGATTATAATTTCAATACGCAGATTATTAGAGAAATTAAAGTAAATGTAAAAAATTTAATGATTTAATCGGACGTTTAATATAAATTTTATTTTGACTTTAGAGAAACCAACTTCCATTTTGTTGTCGTTTATTCGGATATATTCATGAAATAAAAGAGTATCTTTTTCGCCCCTTTTTATGTTTATATCTATAATTTTTATTCTAACTTAATATCGCAGGTAAAGTCGACTTGGCGGGGTCTTACGGCTGCGAGGTGTCATCCGAAGCGCCAAGTTTTGAGACAGATTATAGAGAGGCGAACATGAGCGTGGCAGTACCCCCTCAAAGTCCTCCGATACTGGAGGGGATGCGCCCTTCTTACGAAGTCGGCCAGATCCTCCAAGTGGAATGCACGTCAGGGTTAAGTTACCCCCCGGCAGTTTTAACGTTCATCTTGAACGGTAAAGAGGTGAGTCAATGATATTCGTGAGTGCGAGAGTTAGAATTACGCCACTTAAGGACGTATGCGTCAGATGTAAAAACAATAACAAAAATGTATAAATTTCATAAATTCTTCTATTATTACGTCTAAATATCTGTGTAAAATTTGAAAATAATTCTCTTATTGGTTTAAAAATTATTTAATCTTTTTTTGTTTGTATTGATTCTTATGTAAATTCACGTTTTGTAATATTTATTTGCATATTTGATGAGGGAATAACATTGAAAATTAAATCAAATTTTATACTGGATTATACACTACCCACTTAAAAGTTATTGACCTAAAACTGCAGAAAAATATGGACAGTTTGCTACATAAAACCATTAAAAACCAAATTATTGTTGCTTTTTGCAGTTGGTTTCAGTGTTTTATCAGAGTATATTTACAGGTTAATAAAATTTTTTTAATGATATTGGTATATATTATTTTGGCTGATTGTTTGACTGATACTTTTAACTGATATTGCATCTATAGTATATAATCAAAATATTCTCAAATTTCCGAAAAATCATAAAATCATAAATTGAAAAAACAATCAGATAAATTTCCGTAATTCTTTACGTTCGTATACTTTATACGAGTTATAATATTTTCAAATTTTCGCTCGGTTTAGGAATTATTTTATCAGATTATTTACTGAATAAAGGCAAACTTTTTATTTAACTAAAGCAACTGCCTATCGAGCACAAATTTTCAGTGTCCAGTATCCTCCTTCGATAACTTCTGGCTTAACGAACTTATTGGAATATTTTTGTTAAAATTGATCAAAGGAATATTTATCTTCGAAATATTATCTAACTACTTTAGGGCACATCCCTGTAGCGTCGGCAAACGCGAAACGAGCGAAAATTTCGTAATTAATCGTACAACGTAATCCAAAGCTCGCTTCCGCGGGCTGTTGAGCGGGCATGGTAAACTAGGAACCACATAACTCCCATTATTCAATGCTACGCTGCACACGTCATTCGCGAGGCGGTACTACTCGGTTTATTCAACGACAATTTGTCAAGCGAGCTAGGCCAGTTCGCGTGGGCATTTTTATTTCGTTCACTGACCGCACGTTCAAGTCTCAATAAATACAGTAAGCCACAAATTAATTTCTCGAGAATAAACTCGCGGAAATGTAACGGGACTGCGATGAAAATATGCTATTCATACAATAAAATCGTAACTCAAGCAAAATTGATATAACAAATGACGTTTTAGAGTTGTTATCATTTTTTTCAACAGACTCGACGATTCAATTTATAATCTGTTACATTTCTTCTTTTAACAAATAGTGGATTGGCAGACAATCTGTTATGTCTGATTATATATAAGTAAAGAAGCATCTGGATCAGATTAATATTACTTTATTCATTGTAGAGAAAAACGTGTTATTACAGGCACCAGAACTGAAAAAAAAGATAATATAAACATAAACTTGAAAGAAAAATTACGCGGTTTAAGAGTTATCTCCGTATCTTGATACATTAAATTTTGTGAACATTGACATTTTATTGTATCAAGGTGAGAAGAAACTTGATACAGGCCTAGTAAACAAGAAACATTAAATCAACATTTTAAAATATTGATTTCATGTGAATTTCATCAACATCTTTATCTAATAAATTTTTTATAAATATATAATTGTAATATTACATAATAATATAATATTTTGGAACTTTATAAAAATATTTTTAATAATATAAATTCCAAATATTTTGTAAGTATGGTATAGAACGTTGAAAGAATATTGTTGAGACGTTACAATGTTAAATATTGATACGTGAATGTTTTTTCAACATTGAATCTTTGTTGATTTTCCTATATCGATTATTAATGTTGCTACAATGTTCAAATAATATTGAACAAATTAATTTCAAAGTCACTCACCCGAGAACAGTACGCGATATCGCCTATAGGTAGATGTGGCGAAGTAATTTTCTCGCATATTTAAAAATTACATAGAGTAGAATAAAAGGCGCAGTATGATAAGATTTTTCACCTGTGTTTTAATGAAATGATTTTTAAGCTTAATGATAAAAGCAAATAAAATATATTTTGTTCAGTTTTGTGTAAAATTAATTCTCTCTCTCAGAGACTTACTATTCTTATTTTTTTATGCTATTGAAGTTTTTATGCTAATGAATAAACGTCGAATCAATGTTCTCAAATATTAAATTACAGCTTCTGCAAGACATTATCTTAACAAATATTTCTATAATGTCTCTCAACATTTCTGAGATGTTGATTCAATATTACATGATTTTATTATAAAATTTTTGTATAAAATTTTTTTGATACATCTTAGATAGTTTTTGAGATATAATTAAGAAAATTAGAAACCGTTTTTCTTACAAAGAGTTATTTAGACATGAGTTTTCTGCACTAATATTTCCTAAGTTTGTTTACTTACGTATAACCTATATATATGTATAATATACAAAGTTTATTAAAATCGTAAAATTTCATAAAATCCGAATTTGTCACTTCGCGAGATTTTCTGTGTAAGTGTACTTTTGCTTAAAACCTTTTAAATCCATATTTATTACGAAATCTACGGTATGCTTCTATATAATTGCCTGTATTGTAGAAGCACTCAACAAGAAAACACTTTTTCTTCAAAATGGTTGAGGCAGTGTCATGTTGACACATATAAATTAGCTTATATAACGACCCAAATAAAATTGATGTGTCACGTACCCGATCTTAATAAGAAAACACGATTGAAATGATGGAGGAAAAATATAAATAGTAGTTTACTTTCAATACAATTCTGATGATCATCCTGTATCAAATCACTTGAATTGTTGAGTCTTTTACTTAAAAGTTATAACGATTCTAAAACATCGTTTGTTATATTAAATTTATTTGATTTTGCTGAAATTCTAAAAATTTTACTAGATTCCGATCTGAAAATAATTTTGTTGGACCATCAAAATAATTTTAGAAGAATCTTGAGCATGGTGAACAGTGCTACAAATAGTTTTGAAATTATCTAATTAATTTAAATATATGGTATATAATCTTATATAACTTTTTTAATGGTTCAACAAAATTATATTCGGATCTGTACCTACATAGAAAAATTTTTCATTTAAAATTTACTCTCTGAAATATTATAATAGTCGTGATACAATACAATATTTTCAAATTTTTTACCATGCATTTTAGTCAAAATTAATCAAACTCATTTTTTATTTTATTGTAGTTTTATTAGTGACATTTATATAAAATTTTTCGAAATACAATGTTATCCCACGACTGCCATATATATATATTTTCAGGGTAAATTAAAAAAAATTCTTTCCATGTAGCTAAATTTTTAGATACTTGGGTAAAATCATTCTTTCTCTATACAAACAACGTATTTTCATCGCAATTCTGTTTTGTTCATGCAAGTTTAGTTTTGAAAAAATAAGTGACTTATAACGTTATAACACTGTATTTATTGATAGTATAAAATTGCTCTACGTTTTGATGAAATGCAATGTTCATGACACAATGGCGTTTAAAGATGTATCAAGACATAAGAATAACCCGTAAAGCGCCTTGTAAATTTCCTTGAGAGGTCTCAACAGTAATAAGTAGGTAATTAAAGAGTCCAAAATAGAAAACTATTATAAAATATATAGAATAACTGTTTTCTATAATGTGTGTGAATAATTTAATTAATAAACAAAAATAACATATGTACAGTCAATGATCGAAATTAAATCTTCATTTGCAATCTCATAATTTTTCCGTGTTCCATATGCTATATCAAATATCTCAGGAACTCGTGGCTGTAATATAAATCCTATCACACACTATTCAAATTATTTAAAATATAGACTTTACAAATTATATTCTAAACTCTTGAAACTCTGTGCCTGATTTTCGACAGGTAAACAGAGCCTTAACTAAAGACTTGCATGGAGTTGGCAACATAGACGGAAATCTGGTCTCTACGACGCGATTGGGCTTGACAATGCGCTTAGAACGACATCATTTTTCCGGCGGCAGTTTGACCCTGATGTGCCAGTCGACACTACCAGGAATCGCTCATGACCAGCCTCTCAATGTCATCGAAATCGCCACTCTCGCTGCCAGCAACCAACGTCTCGCCCAAGAACCCCCTAAATCAGGCTCAGAGTCGAACGTCGAGTTCTACCCGATTCTGACTTACTGGACAATGACCGTGATTCACGTGATTCGTTACAACAGTCTCAGATTTCTGCGCGTTTAATGTTGACCAGCGCGATAGTTCGATCCATAGCACCGATACCTATCCAGTACGTGCTAATTAGTGTATCTCTATGCATTCTCTACGCATTCTCGCGATCAAGAATAACGTCGCGCATCGGCTTCTCTCTACATCTACATGTCAATCGAGAGCGACGCACACTTTAGTGCGTTCCGAATTTTCGCGTAATCCATACACGTTCGCTCGCATGTGTACACAATGTTTAGAGCACCCCGTATATCATATGTAAGTTGGAAATAGCAATACAACTCTACATAAAATAGGTCGGAGCGGCGAACGCATGTACATAGTGTATAATTGTGAATTAGCATTACAACAAATTGTCGTGTATAATTATAACTGAATGGAAGGACTGCAAGGATGATAAAGGAAACACGATGAAAGTAACATGGTAATATATCGGAATTCGCGGGGACGCGCGCGACATCGCAAGCAACTTCTTCGAGGGGAGAATGACGCGGCTGGGGAATGTCGCGTTCGAGAGAAATATATATCTATCATTTGTCAGACCAGAAATATAGTTTAAGAAGCATAAATGTGTATACGGGTCGTAATCTTAAGTACGGCTCGACGTTGGCGTATGTAGTGTAAGTATGTGGTTAATTCGACTATATTCTCCACATCCGATCTTCCTCAACGAGGCATGCGAGAGTTCTACGTGTGAAGTAAAAGATATGACGCTTTTGTTCAGCAATTTTACACGATCCAAAGTATCGTCGTTATCGTCGAAGCGATGGCAGTAATAAAACGATGATTTAATCAACTTGGTTGGTACATTTCTCACGACATCCTTTTCCATGTAGCACAAAATCTTGCAGCAACATTGTGTTGCAATGTTACCGCAATATTACTCGAACAATCTCTGCTGTATGGGCTTTAGCATTAGCGTAACGATTTCGTCAAACTCGCTAATTATGTCGCATATATAAATGATGGATTGCGATCGTTTTAAAGAATAAATCGGTACACGCGGCAGGAGCAACATCGCCATTCGAAACTTTCGTGATTTGATGGTTTTCTTTGCCAACGTTTGTATATCAACAGTGAAGGGCTCACCATGATTCGATATACATAATTTGCATAAATAACAAAGACCGACGAGATAAGTGCAGTTTAAGACGTCAAAGAGGAAGCAAGGGACGAACTAAACAATAAATGGAGAAATTAACGAGAAAAAGATCTTCTCAAGGAAACCGTCGAAAGAGTAGGGCGGTCACATAAACCGTCTCGGATTCACCAAACGGATCCTCCCTCACTCCTTCGATCCGATCTATCGGGACACCGACTCTGTGACTCTCCTTCCTCTCCTTGATTCGATTTCCAGATTAATTAAGGATCGCTGGTCTGAAAGGACGCCCTCGAGATCCTTTCAACGGGGTCGAGTATCCGTCCGTCCCGGGGGCGACGTAACGAGCGCCGATTCGAATCGGTTTCACGAGACACCGAGCCTGATAATGACATTTTCCGTCGGCTCAGGTAAGTCTATCTTACAACTCCATGCCTGCTTACTGATTACGAACCCTTTCGACAAAATCTTCAATTGCCACATGAGAAGGCTTTCACGAACCTACGCTGAATCCCTTAATTTTCCACTCTCATCCTCGTGAGGCTTGCGAGAGATACTGTGTTTTATCTCGATTCTTTTATAGTAACAGTCTGTAAGATTGATTTTTTATGAAGAAATTATGACTTTTGTATATCGTTTCTACTAATTATTACTTAATTAAATAACAATTATTTGAAAAAAAATTAACTCGAATTAAATTTTTGTTAGAGACAGCATGATATGTTTAAATATTGTACACATTGATAATTAAAACAATTTTTATTGTATCGTCTTTATCTGTTCATAACTATCAAAATAACATTTTTTTAATTATTTTTATTCTAGAAATAATTAATTATTACTCTAATGCAGGTTCTCTACGTTTTCATCATTTATGTGATATTCTTATAATTTGAGTATTCTTATAATTTATAGTAGTTCGCAGTAGGATATACTATACGATTGATCCGAGATGACCTATATAAGGCTGCCGAGAGTGCTGAGGACAATAGACAAGCATCCAACTCACAGCTGAATTGTAGACGACGCGACGTTAGGAAGGCTTTAGGGTGCTCGAAGTTAAAGGTGGAGACTCACCCATTACCCACTTGCTATTACTCCCTCTCCACTTTGCTTTATCACCTCTTCCCTAACAGACACTAGACAGAGCAAGAGAGAGAGAGAGAGAGAGAGAGAGTATGTGTGTATGCAGTGTATGCTCTCATATAGGAACATGTATGAAAGCTACATACTTGTAACGATGCGTGCAAGCGTGCGTACGTACGTGTGCAAATTCGCGCAGTTGTGTGTATATCCCGCAAGAGATGCCAGGAACTGATACGAAATCGATAGAACCCAGTTTCCGACGTGACGTGCTGGTATTATATCATTCGCTCCAACAGCAGCATCAACCGGCGACAGGAACAACACTACACCAGCGATCTTCTAGGCGATTCGCGCGTCACTCGAGCTTTGATTATGGAGATAGATATGTGCCTTTCACATTTCTCTCTTTCCCCCTTTCCTCTTCTTTTTCTCTCGAAAAGAGATAACATGAAAAGATTGATCCAATATCGAGCCAATATCGTGAATTTCCAAAAATGAGTTAAAAGAGGATCGTTTTATTCATTTGTGCCATATATCAGTGCCAAATAGAAAATATCAATATCACTGCGTTGATAGAAAAATGACATGTGTCAAATTAGCAACTTTACAAAAATGTTTACAAAATTTTAAATTAAAACAACGTTTTAATTAGGATGATAAATACTTAATTTCAACTTCACTTCTTTTCCATGTTATATGCTTTAAATTTTTTATAAAGCATATTCTTTAATCTTTTTAAGTAAGTTTTAAATAGATTAAATAAATCAGAAAATGCTCCACACAAAAATTTTAATTTTATAGTTATATATTAGTGTATTAAATTATAATTAAATTTATATTAGTTATCCTTGGTTCATAAATTGATGATCAAATCGATATTGATTGATTTTCCAAACCGTTTATGTTGATACCGATTAGATTTTCTATTAAAAATCGAAGATTAACATTTTATCAATGCTGCATCGATAAAATATCGATCTTTTTTTGAAGATTAATAGAAAATTTATTGATATATAGTCGGTATCAAGTCAAACGGTTAGAAAACTCAATCAACTTGTATTGTAAATATAAAATGTTGTTACTTATAACACATTTCTCGCTTATGACGTCGCGATTCAATATGACTGAGATGAGTACTCTGGAACCATAAAACTTCTGAACATCTGGACAATACTTTTAATTCTTTTTCTAGAATAAGGTTTTAGTGAAGACTATACCTAAGGTGCGCTGTGCAAACCACTTAAAGGTTAAAACTATGTCAGGAGTTTTCATAACACTGCAACCTTGATATAGTTTAAATTTCTTCCTTTATCAGAACTATATTTTTTTATATAAGCAAATAAGTTACAAATATCTTTTAAGCTTTTAACAAAAATATATTAGTCAAACATATATTAAGATTAATTTCCTTTCATCACCTCAAAAATGCTAATCTTTTACTTGTATCACTTTTCTATCAATACAGCGATGTGTATTTATCTATATATTTATAATAGAATGATAAAGAAGATAGTAGAAAGATGAGATAATGTAAATTTAATTGATATTCCATTTTTAACAAAAAATTATGAATAAAATAACGTTAATACTTTAAGAATTATAAAACATATATAAATACTCACACACATAATTGATATAAGTTATATTATTGTTCAAAGGGATACATCAGTAAATGTAACACACAATGGCTGAGAAAGATGAAAAATTTATTTACGATCAAATAAACAATTTGTTCGTGCGTAATGCGCAAGTAATACGCATTTACATGGAAACCAGATTAAATCAGATTTTCATTGGTCACGAAAAGTGAGAGGTAATTGCTCAGAATTAATATCGCGCCTCATATTTTCGTTCAGCTGGTGCTTTTGCGCTTTTGTGAATACAAATCACTAGTCACGAATAATGAATCGAATGCTGTTTAATCGCAAGTATTTAATATGAGACATTGGAACTGGATAATTGTTTTTATCCACAAATATAAAATGAATATTTTATCAAACGTATATAGAAGACTTATTGTAGCATGCAATACGATTCTGTTTTATGAAGCAATTCTCAATATCTTGCGAGAACAATTATGCTTATGTTCCAATTAATAACTCAATTAAATTAATTACTAACTCACTGGCGTCAACTTCGTCAGAGAGAGATCCGCTATGACAAGTCACGATCACTATAATACCCGCGTTCTCTCTCGATGACAAACTTGGGGAACGTGGTGCGATTGGCAAACAGAAAGCCCGCATGTCGATAAGGAATCATGATGTTAACGGTTACATCGCGACTACTCGTAAGTGATTTCCTAACGGAAAATTCGCTATACCGAATGTATCATCACTCACGTTAGCTTTCTTCAAATTTTGTTACATGCAGGGAGGAGCAGAATAAAAACTTCTGATAAAATATTATTAAGATCCGCTTTTGTTAAATTGGTTCTTTTTCACTTTATACTGTATTATTCACATATATTAATAGATTTTTATTTAGATTGTGCAATAAAATCTTTTAATACAAATAATTTTTAATTTGTTAATATAATAAATTTAACAGTAACTTTATTTTCACTTAACGTTCGTTAAAAATTGCATTGATATTGTTTGACAATACTTTAGTAACAGCTTATGTTTCAGAATCATAATTTACATAACTTTAAGAATTGAATCTTTAGCATTATACAGCTCGGAGAAAATCTCAAAATTTTATTTTCATTATACGCGAAACTTTTTAAAAGTCGCAAACCACTTAGACAGAAAGGTTCTTGTTAGAAGATTCAGTATACAGTTCAATCTCTCTTAAGGTAGTAGTTTGTTCCTGATGGGAAACTACGAGA